GTGAAGGCGACCGTAATTGCTATAATGGCAATTGAAAAAAATTGCGACAACGTGTCTCTATTCTAAAGGTAAACTTGTCATGTCGTAGTATGATAGATTTCTTCATTAAATTGTGCGCAATGTTTGACAATTCCAAAGAGCCTTTATCACAAAAGGCAAAATTTTATTAAAATGTAATTAGAGTCTTGGATGGTGGGAAAATGGGAGGGTAAATTAAAGCAATTACGACTATTTCCTCGGTTGTGCCAGAGCGAAAGAGAGTAGATAATGGGCCCTTTTGGGCGAGTCGGAAGAAAAAGGGTGTACAAACAGAAGCTACCGAAACAAGGAAAATTTCTCATGCGTAAACGCGCGCGCCAAATCGGGTTCGTTCGCTTTGTAGCTTTTATAGTTTCGGAGCTAAATTGCTCCTAAGAAATGCGTTGGACGAGATCAAAGAAGTCGTTAACGACGACGCCCCGAAACTTCGACGTCTAAAGATGCACCATGTATGGGGCGCCGATAATGGGCTTTGGTTTCAAATTCTATTTCACCACATCAAAATGAAAATCAATGAAAAATCATGCAAGAACTGGCGAAGGGTATGGTTATCATCAAAGCACCGTGGCCGATACAAAATAATGAGGGAATTATAAAAAAAAGTAGTACCATTACCTTGCGGCCGACAGATTGACTGGTCCTTTTGCCTTCGATCGGGTGGTCAGATAAAAAAAAACTAACTTCTTAATTACGCCCGTTAGTCGGGTTTAGTCTGATGGATCCATTGAAACAATTGTGCTTAGATAAGTAATGTAGAGAATTCAGCCAAATTAATTCCTACTGCAAAGCCATTATATTATTTTTTTGATAGAAAAACCTTGTTCCATTTGCACTAGGTACTTACAGACTGAAAAAAACATTTGTCCGTGCCAGAAGCCAATCTATTACATCGTATATATCTTTGACCATTTTCGCAGTAGTGTGGTCTTTTATGGGACAGTAAATCTATCCAAAGTTCGGACAGATAACGTCCAAACGTTTAATTGCGTCGTTCAAACATCAACTTAATTAACGTTTAAAATTTAAAGCGTTATTTTTTTTATTTTTTTTTGGCGGGGTCAATTAAGTGTGATGATTTTCACCCCACACTATAAATTTCCTTTAGACATTAACATTTTTTGTATGTAGGCATTCGTAATAGTAAATTCCAATAATGTCACACACAGAATCGGAAAGCATTTACGCATAGTTAATTCTCGAATATCTCTGTGTCAAATTCGGAATAGGAAAGCAACACAGCGAAAAGGATCCCCATTTCATCGTTAAGGGCTTTTGCGGTACCCAGTTATCGGCAATTTCATTTGGTAAGAGATGAAGGTTGGAATTAAACCTATCGTCATATACCTACCTCTCTTTGGCATTATTGGCAATAATACTCCAACAGCTTTACATGAAATGGAAATGGAAATAGGTGTTATTTAAGATAATATGGAAAATAGTGCAGTAGATTTATTGGGAGAAAAGCTTTTAGATAGAAATATTTTTTAAAAAAATCTATCAATCAGAGAAATATTATACTGGTGATATCCTAAACAATGTTACAAATAATAAGTTTATTTGTACTTTAGGACAAGAGAAGTTATAGGGTCGTGGAATTCAAAAAATTCAAGAAATAGCATTTCGCGCACTAGATACAAAAATAACTATTAATATAAAAAAAACAAATAAATAATAATAAAATAATAGTAAATAGTAAAATGGGTAAATACAGCAAGATTAAATTAAAATGCTCGTTATAATTGAGCAGGATGCTTCTTTTTCTGGCAGTCGCAATAAACAGGCAATATTTTAAAAAAATGCAGGAAAAATTGAATCAGATAAAAAATTAATACTTACCTAGATTTTCCCCAAATAGACACATTTTCCTTTTAAGTTAAAGTACCTACTATAGGTACTACAAGATAATGCCGAGGATGAAATTAATTTAATCCCGGAATTGTCAAAATTCTTGAGATGTTTTAATTAAAACCTTTTTTGAATGAATTTTTGACCTATCCGGATTTCTATTTCAAAAATTACACCATTTTTCAACACTCTTCTCCTCGAGAAGATAATTGAAGGAGTCAAACAGAAAATGGCTATACAGGCCTCTGCTTGGATTCAATAAAGAGTTGATAGGGATGGGCACACTTTGGTTTGCACCGACTCTATTTAGAGCAAATGGTCCAATAATCTCACACTAACAATTGATTCTGAAAACCAGAGCAGCAATACCTATTCATTAGCCCAAAACTCTGAATTGACTCACCTCAGAAAAAAACGTGGAGCCATCAATCACACACAAAATGGAGGCACACAATTAGATAAAAAGTTAAAATATAATATTTATATTTCAAAAGTAGATAAGATTAGATTTATCAGATAAAAACTCAACAGTGATATGGTAGTATACACTGATGGTAAAGTAAATTGAAAAATTATTAAGGGAGAATCTAGAAATCCAAAAGAAAAAATTATAAAAATGTAATCAATTTGCCTGCTAGGCCACTGCCAGAAGAAGAGACCGTTTTAGAAGCAAAACTCTGCAGGAAACCAATTTTGTGTTTGTTATACTTAACTGCGTATTAACCAGATCGACCAATCAGAAGACAACACTCAACATACACAAAAGAGCGTGCTCACTTATCAATGAAACACCACGTTGATTAAAAGGGAATAGATAAAAACTCACTAGATTTATTTTAATTGTTGACAAATCACAATAATTTGAATTAAGGTTATGTTGGAAACACAAAACCACTAATTATCCCCAAAAATAATTATTTCAGAATCAGAAGTTAGAGAAAGACAGAAATATATCTATTTGCTAAAAATGAGATAAATATAATTTCTTTAAATGACTATTTCACTAGAGTGTATTACACCGGCAATAAATTCGGTATTCAGCTGACAATACCTGGACAATACCAACAACATGGTATTTCAGCGAACATTTTTTGACATTGTCAAACTGATATTTTTAATTTGAAGTTTTTATTCATATTTTTGCATTCTATTTATTTTCAAAATCTTACGTGAAATAGTCATATGGAATACCACTCGAGGAAAAATTGTGTAGGCCAAATTGTTCTCAAGGTTTTATTCAAGTTTGTTGCTTTTCGGCAATTTCGCTCATGACATTTTTGATAAAATCACTCGCCTGACGGCTTGTCATTTTGTCAAAAATTTCATTCGCGAAATTGCCAAGCAACAAACTTTCATACCTTTCGAAAATTTTGCCGACAAAATTTTTTCTCTTGTGATATTATATATGAAAATACAACTGACTGTCAAATGAGAAATAATAAAAATCATATTATGAAAAATAAATTTTTCAGGCACTAGATGGCGGTACCTTCTTTTAATAATAGATATTTGCATTTTATGCTTCATGGATAGATAGCAATACTGATATTATATTGAACTTTGTAGATACTTTGAGATTACTCAAATTATAAATTATTATTTTACTGATTCTGAAATGGCAAAAATACAACTTTATAATGAAAATTAGAAGAGATGGAACACGTTACGTATATAATAAATTTATCGTAACAACAATAACAAAACAAGATCAGTTTTTACTAATATGAATATTATAAATCACACAGGTTCGTCCAGAGGAAACTTGGCTATATTTCTGACAATGAAAAATTCAAACGAGAAAGTAACTGCTGCAAATCAAACTTTAGATTTCAGGTCAAAAGTTCCTCGTTCAGAAGTGCCAAAAATCTGATAGGACAGAGATGAAGAGGAGGAGACGGGGAGAAACAAAACGTGCGTCGTAAAGTGGGAGGCGGTGGCGCGAACCTGCCACTATCGATTTGGAGAAATGCCCCCAGGGTACAAGTGTGTTCCCGACGCCCGACGAAGTCGACGTCGAAAAGTGGTCCTGCCAATGATAACGGCATATAATAATTATCATTATTTTAATGTCTTTTTCAACGTGCCGAAGTTTTTGACATGGGTAAAGAGATGTCATAACAGAGAGAATTTGATGAACCTAATTTGGTTGTTGATTTTTTTTCAATCCGTTATCCATTAAACGTCCAAAAAATAAATATGAGAGGATGATAAAGGAGAATCGTAAAATTGGTACGTTCCTGGGCGAAAAATAACGCCACCTGTCACATTCTTGTAGAAAACCAATGATAAATGTTACAACCGCAGCTGCCGAGTCAGGAAAACTGAACGAAATTTCCAACAGATATGAAAATATTGAACATTCCTTTGGCTTTTCTCCAAAGACATTGTCTTCTTATATATAAGTGGCAGTTTTTTACACGTAGTTTCCCTTCTCCTCTTTCTTCAAATTTCTAACGAGTCCATTCCTGTACCAGACAGCTTTTGTTTTCCCATTGAGCTATCCTTGTATTGTCTTTGTCTGAGAAACAATGTCTACTCAGCTCAGGTCAATAAAAAGGATTTCCAACTAAAAATTATTAGACATTTTAATTTCACAAGGCTCAAAGGCTATAAGTATAATTAAAACCAACTTGAATCTAGGTAAACAAACCCATAAAAATCTGGAAACGAGGTTTAAAGCCGATTTGCATGAATTCTTTGATGAAATTACGTATGCGAAAGGATTTATCGAGTGAAAATCAGAATGGAAACTAACGTAAACCCCTGAAGAAAAACAAATTAATGGACATTTCCTGGCTTTATAGATCTATGGAAATATTTTCTTTGGTTTTCTTATTATATACTATGTTCACCATAAGAAACATATTAAAATCGTTTCAAGACCAATTTCGATTAATAGCAAACAAATTAGGTGAACATGAAACTCAATTGATCGCCTAAATATTTCATCAAAAGCACTAAATGCTTCCGATTATATTTCGAAATAGTGTGCTTCCAGTACATTGCGTTTAGTTAGATAACTTTGGTTCCTAATCCTAACGAGGATAACAAATTTAGACTGGAAAGCTCATATCATAGAATTTTATTCATAAAATAATTACAGTTTATATTTTTTTTTATTCGTAATGTTTATCCATAAATTGTTGTAATAACGCAGCAAATTTTTCTGGATTATTTAAATGTGCATGATGAGTACCTTCTACAATATGAAATTCTGCATTTGGTAAAATACTTATTAGTCCATCATATAGGCTTGTATTTGCTGCACTATAAGAAGATTGTGCAAATTTGACAAAAAGACTAGGACAAACTATATTTTTCGATTTTTCCCTAAGATCCTCGGTTGCCAATATAAAATGATCATTAAACTTTAACCTTGGGTCTCTAGTAAAATAATACTTTCCTGGATCATGCTTTGAAGCCGCAATGCTCCTTTCCAAAAGCAAATCGGCATGTTTCAAATCTATTGATCCATTATGGGGTTTGTGAATCATTAATCGCATTTGTTCCAACGTATAACTAGGAGGTTCACTGGTACTTAGAGCAAACTCCTGAAATTTCGGAAAACTGTCCATAAAAGCAGCCATTGGCGGAACACGATCCATATTCCACATAATTACTCCATCTAGATTCAGAAACAAGTCAACATTTTGAGGATAAAGTATGGCGTAATGATAACTGATAAGACAACCCATTGAATGCCCCATTATTGACAATTTCGGCCATTGGAAATGCGTTTTAATGTACTGCAATGTAAGGAGGTACGAGTGCATGTTGTAGGGCATACCAGAAGGTATGCGTGACGAATATCCATGACCTGGAAAATCTATGGCTAAAAAACTGTTGTTGTTTAGTAATGGTAGTAAACGATCAAAGCTGCTGGAGTTATCCTGAAACAGAAAAAATAAATGCCATCACTGTTGGAAGTTGATTAAGGATATAGAACAACCAACATTAAAATATGGGGATAATAAAGATAAAGTTATCAAGTTGTCTTCTATCAGAAAACTTAAGGGTTATAACATCCAGTCAACTTAACTTAACGAGCGGAAAATCAATAATAAAGAAAATTTGAAAATCCTGTAATATAAGTACTTGTTTACATACACTTAAGAATTGAGAAAATTAACGTGACACACGGAAAAGTTGGGCCAACTTCAACTTAAGAAAATCCGTACGTTAATTTAATTTTTCTTGGGAGTTGAGGTTAGAAATGCGCATGCGTCACGTAATAGTTATTTACATTACAAGTGCGTTTATGAACATGATTACAATAGCGAGTCGGAAAGATTAGAACGACGAGGTCGTAGACCGAGTCGTTCTAATCATACAAATTTTGTAGTCATGTTTAAACCCACGTGTGATGTACAACGTTTTATCTACAAAACGAAAAATAAGAATGTTTTTTCAATTATTTTCGTTTATTAGTAGTTGTCTTACTTCATTTCACCTTTACAGGTTTACCTACATTTGTCAAATCACCAGAAACAGTTGTGTTATAGATTCATAACCTAACCCATAACACCGCACTAGTTGTGTTATGAATTCATAACCTAGTCTATAACACCACTGTTCTGAGTCTCATAACATAAATCAAATACTAGAAAAATAGTTATGTTAAAACGTCATAACCAAACGCTTGTATTTAGATAGAACAAATTACCTTCATAGGGCAAGTACACGATCTGACAGTTTGACACTATTGACATTCGCCTTGAGGTAAAACAAAGATAAAATTTACAGTGGTTTTCAAGTTTTTAGTTAGATTTTTCTAAATAAATACCTTTTGTGTGATCCAGAAGTTTCTTGGACATGCCTAGAGTTTGTTTAGTTGTTAATTGTGGCAGTATAGCGCAAGGAATACAATACCTACAACAAAGTCGGAGCATCAGCTACCGCTACCACGGTCAGAGGGTGTCCTCAAGGAGGTGTTCTTTCTCCACTACTATGGAGACTGGTGGTGGACAAAATTCTTACCAGACTGAGTAGTGCTGGATACCAGGTCATAGGCTACGCAGATGACCTAGCCATTGTAATCAAGGGCAAACATGAAGGCGTAGTGACAAGCCGAATGCAAAGTGCCCTAAACATCGTTAAAAATTGGAGCGATGGCGAAGGATTATCCCTAAACGCAAACAAAACAATCCTTGTCCCGTTCACAAGAAGAAGGAGGTTAAATCTGAAAGCCCCGACCCTTAACGGTACACAACTAACATTTTCCAACGAAGTGAAGTACTTAGGGGTCACCCTGGACCGAACCCTCACTTGGAACAAACAGTTAGAGAAAACATGCTCTCGAGCTACATCAGCCATTTGGTCATGCTGAAAACTTGTTGGCAAAACATGGGGGCTAAAGCCAAAGATGGTATTCTGGATTTATCAAACCATAATAAAACCCATGGTCACATACGCCTCATTGGTGTGGTGGCCCAAAACCCAACAAGTCACTGCTCAGATCAAGCTCAGAAAGGTGCAAAGGCTGATATGTCTAGGAATAACGGGAGCAATGTCAACTTGCCCCACTGTAGCCTTAGAGACGCTACTCAACATGCCCCCACTTCATCTATGTGTGAAAAAGGAGGCAATAACCAACACTCACAGGCTTTTCCAAATAGACAAGTTCAAGCCTGGTGATCTAAGGGGACATCTGCGAATTCTTGATTTAATAAAACTGGAGAATGCCAGCAAACCAAGTGACCACATGATGGTAAGATTGGACTTAGAGATCCCATTCGCAGTGGTAATAAACGACCGCCAATCATGGGAGAATAAAGAATTGCCACAAGCAGACAATGCATCTCTGTGGTACACAGATGGATCCAAGCTAACGGAAGGAGCTGGACTGGGCATCTCCGGCCCTAATTTCAAGCTCTCCAAGGCATTGGGTAAACATCTTACAATATTTCAAGCCGAACTGCTTGCCATAGATATATGTGCACAAGAGTGTCTTAGCCAAAGCCTCAAAAGAAAACACATCTTCATACTATCGGACAGCCAAGCTGCCTTAAAAGCCTTAAGGGCTTTAAAATGCACGTCAAAACTAGTCTGCGAGTGTAAACAGACCCTAAAAACACTAACGACACACTACCAGGTAACGCTGATGTGGCTGCCTGGTCATCGAGGCATAGAAGGTAATGAAGAAGCAGATGGCCTCGCAAAGGAAGGGGCCTCAACACCATACCATGGACCAGAGCCCTTCCTTTGGCCTAATGAAAAGCCACATCATGGAAGAACTCAATAAATGGGAGAAAGACCAACTGTCATCATACTGGAGGCACACACCGGGACTCAGACAGTCTAAAAGGTTTATTACCCTTTCAGCAAAAAAAGCTGAACAGCTCCTAAGCATGAGCAGACCAGACATCAGATTGGTGGTGGGACTGCTCATAGGACACTGTCCAGTAAAATACCATTTAAGGTTAATGGGCAGAGCGGAAGACGATCTCTGCAGATTCTGCTCAGACGCAATAGAGATCGCAGAACACCTGCTCTGCGAATGTCCAGCCCAATTCTGCAAGAGGCTCAAATTCCTCGAGGGGGCAACACTGTCACCAGAAGAAGTGGGCCAACTAACACCCAGGAAAATAGCTTCCTTCGGCAGAAGTCTACGCTTCCTGGAGACAATTTGAGATGTAGTCATGTAGAAAATATCTGCAAAGGTAGCAGTGCTGAGCGGCTGAAAAAGCCGAAACGACTCCCCCGCAATCTACAATCTACACAAGGGATAAAATATCCTTCCATAGGTTTCCATCAATTTTAAATAACAATGAGTAGTTTGATTTGTTAGCTAAAGAAAGAAGAGAAAAATTGATTATTGTTGTTAAAACAGAAGATCTGACAGAAAAATAGATTGAATATAGAGTAACTATACTTATATATTTGTTCTTGTGACACTTGGTTTTGATATTTGTTGGAAAAACCCTGAATTTAATCCATTATAGAAAAACCTAGCAAACTTCTGGATAAAAGACCACATAGACTGGAACATAAACACTTTACTTTAACTTTTTTAAAACAAAAAAACACAAAAACAGGTAAAAAAGCTGTGAAAACCGCATAAAACATAACCGGCCTAATCTACACGAATGTAAATAAATGATTTGTTTTACCTCAGGGCGACTGTCAAACTCATTTGTGACGTCACATGGACATGCCCTATTGTAAACACACACCTTCGCAGTTTCGTACGTTAATTATAATTTTCCGAATGTTACGCTAAGTTAAGTGGATGTAATGACCCTTCAAATCGGTGAAAGTTATTTATTGATATAATTCACTGAATAGAATATTAAAAATGAAAAGTATATTAACAGTTATACTAACCTGCCAGCCATGTAATGTTAAAATTGGCCTAATATCGGTTCGGCCCCACCATTTTCCTCGTATTTCTCCCCAAGGCACTGGTATAGATACTTCTCGCCATAATTTTTCACTTGAATATTTTCGTTCAAATTTCATATGTTGAAGAAACCTTAGCGAATTTTTTGAGAATAACATTTTAATTTTCTCATAAAAATAACAATATTGCGGTAATGATAAACTTTACAGACATTGTATTTTTTTATATTACCTACATCACACGATTAAATGAAATTATATTTTTATGAAAACGTTTTTAATTATTGTTATCATACCGTCTAGAAGTCTAAAACAAATATTAATGATTTAAAATTTGAATAAATAAAAATGTCATATGTACTGAGTGGACCAAATTCGAGACATATCGTTGAGATTTCATTAACCATGAGAAAGATTGGGTTGAATACTTCCCCTGATATTCGTTATCATTAGATACAGATCGGTTTCGAACTTCGATCAGAAAAAAATATTGACATAACAACCCCAAAGCCATCATAATGTGAGGCCAGATTGAACATATCCAGAAACAATAAATGTCAACAAGATGCACTTTGTTAAATAATTGTTAAATGTGTAGTATAACATACCCTGGTTCGTTCATCAAGATTGAACGGTGTGATTTTTTATTATCTCTTCTTTTACCAAATCTTTAAAAAAAACGAAATGAAAAACAAATAGGACCTACGTTGTCGAAACTCACTGAATTTTACTTACTTGACATGCGCCCGATAATAGCCATATATTAGGTAAATTTGAGGAAAGTTGTAATATGTAAAATAATCGAAAAAATTGTGAAACGTCTACTTTATTATCAAAGATCGTACCGTTCTCGACCTAGAACTCACGAGGGGAAAGAGCACGGCAGAGAAACCCTTGATCATATATCATCAAAACATACTTTGACATTTCAATAAATAATTGTGAGTCAATAATAGTCTAAATTAGGTACCATCCTTTGTCCTTGTGCTAAAATTTTAATTCCACACACCACATTCAATCAACACTACCTATATTCAATACTGAACAGTTTTTGGTTAGTTAGCCAGTTTCACTAGCAGGTACTGAGGTCCCATACGGGAGGCTACTCAGCTATAGTTATTTTGAGCCAATATCTCTAGATTGATTTTTCAATTTGTTTGCCAGGATATTCGCTCGTCACGGTAAGAAAAAGTTAGTAGATTCAACAAGGCCCTAATGTACGCTGTGAATACCAAAAATCAAAATCCCAGCACAAAAGACAACACATGATTTCTTAGGTTTAACATGAATAATGCACATGTTATAAAAAATGTTATAAACAAACACAAAAACATAAAAATGAAAAAAATAGTACTTGTGTAAATTGAAC